ATTTTATCTGAAGATCGCAGAGTAAAGATTTAGGGAGCAAAAGAGTGTTTGGAAGACTCAGATAGGCGGCAGGCGAGCCTGAAGCATCTGGGAGACTCGGCGGTGGCCAATGGTATAACTTTCAACCTGAAAAGTGCAAAGTAGTGGAATTGCGCACCCGTAGGCTGCATAATGCAAGTTCCACTCTGAGCAAAGGAAGCTCGTCCTGCACAACGTCGGTGAGTGACTTAGGTCTAGTTCTAACGGAAAAATGGACACAACCATGAATTGCACGGGGGATGTAGTGAGGGCATATGCGGTCATACACTTTATACATAGACAGTTAGGTGCACTCACTCCCGAGCTCTTTCTAAGGTTGTACAAAACATACGCAAGACCACACCTCGAAGTGCACAATATCACAGCAACCTTACTGATTGGAAGAGACGTGGACCTTCTGAAAAGAGTCCAAAGACGGGCGACGGGTCTCCGAAGCAAACCGTATGGTGAACGGCTAAAGGAATTTAGACCTCTTCACACTCATCCACCATAGGCTTAGGGGGAGCTTGATTACTGCCTATAAGATAAAAAATGTCCAGAATCACCTAAACAAAGGTGTTCTGACATTAAGTAGGCATGGGCTTCCCCGTGGAAATCCAAGAAGGATAGCTCACCAGAGGGCAAGGACTCAAGTGCGCTCCCACTTCTTTTCACTGCGTGTTTGCCGTCCCTGGAACTCCTTACCGCCAGATGTAGCTGCGGCATCGTCCATGGACAGCCTTACACGAAGGCTGGATGGCCACGCAGTGACACAATGACTGCGTCAAAATGGCCTATCCACTTAAAGTCCCATACACTATTAAGGGAGAGACATCTAAACTCCCCGTTTTACTTCTTTACATTCTCGCTTGTCTTACTCTCCTGACTAATCCAACTATTGCGTCCCTTACACTATTGTTATTACTATTAGCGGTATTACGTACATATAAACATAAACATATATATACTTCAAATTTTATTAGCTGTCTACTCTTACGTTTTCTTTATTTCTTTTTCTGTCTTTTAGTCTGCATAACTTACTCTAATTATATCTGTTATTATTAGTGCCTCTTTTCTTTTGTCGACGACACCAGATGAATAACTGGTGAAAGGACCAGCTCCATTCACAGTAGCAACACGGTCTTAACACGCCGTATACTACAAACAACATTTCATTAATCCCAGCACCACTCCTCTTGGAGTCAACCAAATTTACGACAATCGAGTGACGAGATGAACTACGCAGAACTTTACCGAAGACCAGGAACCTTTACCTCACAATCAAGAAGCCAGCACAAAGAAATCAGTTTGGTTTACACTTGCTCATAAAAATGATTTTGGATATTAGAGTTTTGAAATGTTGAGTACTGGTTCTCACACCTATTCATAAACTCTTGGAACTGATTTCCAGAAGAAGCAGTGTCTGCAAGCTCAACTGATTCACTCAAGAAGCGTTTTGATAACCACAGAAATTTACTAGAAAACGATTAGCATAGGCTCCAAGCCTTCTATCCTCAACCAATAAATCTGAATCTTCGGGTAAGGGCATTGAATATTGAAATCTCTGCAAACAGTTGAACAAAAATTTTATTTCTGCGCATCGTGGGAGTTTACCAACAATGACTGGTAGGATAGCCTTCTTTCAAATTTATGATAATATTTCGCTAGACTCTAAACAAAATGATGAACATGGTAGCCCAGAAGTTCCCAGACATACTCGTAAGCTGGTTATTATCTAATTATTTTCTAGTGTTAAATGAAAATACAATTGAAGCTCTACAAAGTTGGCATCAGCTTGTTGGTAGGCTATTGGTTTTATGCAGCTGATTAACTTATTATAGCTTCTCCTGACATTAAGAACTCGACAATAATTGTTTCTGATGGAGTCAATATAAATGATATCACCCAACTGAATTTAAGCCCTATATGTAAGTTGTAATTTTCTGCTGTATCGCCAAGATTCACCTTGTTTTGATAACTCCTTGGTTTCATCTGGTGACTTTAACATATGTGGGGACAGTCGCCATAGTTCCCCCAAAACTGCTAATGATGGAACGAGTCGTAAATTACTAAAGAAGTTTGAGGTAATGGGAGACTTTTCCAAAAGCGCTGAATCAGAAAGGTATGATGTGGAATATTTCTTGTCTGTTAGTTTGGTTAGTATCAATGCAATCTTCATCTCATGGAATAATATATATTATATACTATATATTTTTTTGTAGAAAAATAAATTTAATTTCCTGACTTTTCTGCTTTAGATGTTTCGTGGTTTTATAATTGAGTAGTAAAACGGGCCGAGTTACCTGATGCTATTTTATGCCCAATAGGTAAATTAATTTCACAAGAGGTACATGAACCAGTTGACTGACTCCTGTCATGTCAGTACTGGCTTGGTTTAAACTTGCCCACCGAAAGATATAAACTTAAAATCACAAATAAATAGAACTTTGCGTACTTGGAAACTAAATTATTTGAGAAAAAAGTTTCGATTTAAGATGAACTTTAAGGTGCTTATTTTACTATTTCGTCTTAAAAACCACTAGGAATTCGAAAATTGGGTATTTATATCTTCTACCTTGAAGGCTGATTTTGTTAGTAAACTGTGTTCCCCTATTATCGTTTTGTAGCACACACATACTGTAGTGAATTTAAACTTAAAACTTTTAAAAGTTAACTACTTGGAAAAGTTATACTCGATCTAAGTTATACGTATAATGCACTTGGTTCTAATCGTAAGTTATCATATTTCTTGGCTTTAATTAATGATATTTAGCCTAATTTATGATTTTCTGGTATTGCAAATCAGTGCACTCATCTTTTTCACAGCTTTGAACAGGGTCTTTTACTCCATGCCATGCATTCGTTCACACGCTTTCTTTTACGTTCATTGCGCAGTTTTTCGAAACCTATTCCAAAAATATATTATTATTTTGATGTAGATTATTCAAAACGTTTTCGTTTCTCATCATTTCGGTTTACATTACCACTAAAATTATTTTCCCTGTTTGTTTCGAATGCTTCTGTGACCAGGTCAGTTCATTCATTTCATACGTTTGTTTGATTTATGATTACAGTGTTTCAGTACTTTCCCAGATGTTAACGGAATAACACTATGAACATATTTTGGGAAATCATATATGAACGTGTTTCGGTGGCAGAAGCTGCTATTTCCAGTTCATTTTTCGTTGCCTTTATTGTTGATGGTTCAAACAGTTACTTCGTATGTAGAAACCTGGAATAAATAATGTCTCTTTAATGTTGAGTTTTACAGCAAACAACAATCTGCCATTCAATCTGGTGAATAGAGCACGTCCAGAGTTTATATTTGTAAGGTTCTGAAAAGACGTATTAGACGTGGAGCGTTTAAAACTTGGACTGAAGTTGAAAAAGCTTTGACGTTCTTCAGAAAGTTGAGTGTAACATTAATGTCAGAATATAAACACCTAGTATGTTATGATATGACCAAAATTAAACGAGGATGAACCACATTTGAAGTATCAATGTGTTGTGATTGAGTGTATTTTCGGAACATTAATGAACCCTAAAGCAATCCGAAACCTCTAAAGTGTTAGTGTTCTTTATGATGGTTAATGCTAAAAATACTAGATCCAAATACATGAATTAGAATTATTTATAGTAAAGCCAGTGTTAACAGCTATTAATATGTCGCAAGACGATTGAGGAGACGGATAGCAGACGTTGATCGGCTGAGAATACGAACTACCCTAATGGGAGGAAATACTTTAATTAGCAAGTATAACCTACCGCAGCATAGTCCTTAATCGGAGATTTTTTGAAGGTTACAGAATTTACATTCTCATATTTATGAAACTATGGTCATCAAATATAAGGTGAATACGTCTGAAATCTAAACGGTCATGCACAGCGTTAATAGCATGGAGAAATACTTGAAATGTTGTAAGATACACGGACGTATTGTGTTTATGAGGATGACAATGCAACCTTAACATTCAATGGTGATACCACATCTGTACTACTTAATTAAAATGGAAATTCCAGGAGAAATTCATCTCCACTATTGGTGATCAAAAATACTGTAGCATTAAGTATACAGAGTCAGTGGAAGTGGTACAACAGACAGATTGATTTTAATAGAGCTGACTAGATTCACTTTTCATAATCAACACAGTCCATGTGTATAATAATACCATATAGTGAATTAATGAATCAAGTGAAATGGTGAGGAAAATTAAAAGAGTAATTTCCTCCTCCACAGCACTGCCTTCGCAACAATCACAAGAACCGCCTACATCTGGTAGCCTAGCAGTCAGCTAAGGAGACAATAGCACAATATTTATAAAGTTGAGATATTTTTTATACATTGAATCCAAGTAACCCACGTTACATTGCATCAACCAGTGTGAATGTATGTTAAATCCACTTCGAGATAACCTTTCGACTTACGATAACTGTTGTCCAAACACACATACGAAGAAAGACGCATCTACATCCTAACTTCTGCTCCCTAGAAGATTCTGTTATCATTTATAGGTGATTTCCATGTAATGATACCATTCATTTGTAAAGCAGTATTGTTCTTCACACGAAAATGGGCTGCATTGATGTCATGAGACGCGAAGTCTTCATTAATTAATACTATGGCGAAAGCTGCAGCTTCTACATGAATTAAATTATTTGTGTAGATAACATTACCCTCCAACTATCTCAAACTGCTCATGATGGTCATATTTAGACACACTCCGCCTGAAACACTAATCATTGCAACCAATATGCTAACAGTGAGCTGCAGTAAGATCACATGACACGGACACCAACAAGACTTGTCAGAAAATGAGAATTCCTATTAATCCAGAAAACGTATAACACAATTTTATTAAAGATTATTCAAAAAAGAATTTAACAAGCGAAATTTCAATCAGTTTGCGGGATAAGTCCAGCCGCTTACACTAGCTCGTAAAAGCGATATTGGATATTGAAAGTTTTCGAGAGCAGCAGCTTAAATGAGTGCGTTATTGTGTCCGTTTGTGTTCGTTTTCTCTTTTAATTAGGAATAAGTGGTAGCAGTTGTAGGATTATTAGATTGTTTCACTCATTTTGAAATTTTTTGTGGCTTGCGAGTATTTCTTTTCACTCTCAAGGTTTATGTTTCTTGTTGCAGGGATAAATGCAGCCAATCGAACAATTTTAGGGCAGGTGAAAATTTTTAGGGCATTGAAGAAATAGCAAGGGTTTTAGACAAATTTAATGCTTTCCTGGGAATGTATATGATTAAGGTTGGGTGAATGGATAATCTTGACGGAATAAGTAGTAAGCATAAACGGGGTAAAATTTAACATAAAATACTTCCCTAACTTTTTCTCATCTTCCGAAAAATTAATTACCCACTTTACCTGAGTTTTCAACGAGTAAATCTCAGGCGTTTTTACCCACTTCCTCCGTGTTCACGAAAGAATTCTGCCACTTAGAATTTTTTCTCTGACAGACATGTGGGTAAAAAGGTAAGCAGTCTTCCGTTAGAAATTGGGCAAAGTGGGAAAAATGGGCTTTTTCGGTTGTAACATGCGTCCAGTGAGAAAAAGTTGGTAAACTGGGAAAAAGTTGGACAGTATGGGTAAACTGGGTTTATTATGTGGCATTTTAACCCTCTTTTGCCCGCCTCTTTGCCGATCGAAATTACCCACGTTTTCCTCACATTGCCCAGGTGCATTCTCTGACTGGATTGGTCGTTAAATTATTTTTACATCAATCTACTTCGAAATTTCCCTTAAATTTTTCCATGGACGTACATACTAATGTATATATATATATATGCTAGCGAAACTTTAATTCATGAGTATTTATTTCCCAACCTAATATTAAGACTAAGGTATTCAGGGGTGGCTTGAAATTTATAATTAATTTTAAACTTCAAACCGTTTAGGAGTAAAAGGGCACCACCACTGATCCTTCTATCACTGTCATCTGACAGCATTCGTCAAACTTGCATATAACGACCTAGCAGTATTCTACAAATTGGAATGAGACTTATATATCAGCAGTTATTGAATTATTTGAGTCATGATATATCAAAATATCGTTTCATTTCTCATGGTTTATTAATAAATTGGGGTTCGGACTTTCCTTCATCTTACAGGGAGGTGTGAAACTACATATATCAAACTAATGTTGACCATCCGTGTGTTTTGTGCAGTTGATTGCTCCCGTAAATCGGGATGACAAACTGTGGAAAGTAGTAAATGTGGGTTCTAATATACGTTGAACATTTTACTGTGAATGTCTTATCAAATAACTTCAGAGCGCTTGCTGAAATAATCTGGCAGGTTTTCACTGCTGTTGGTTTCAGATTCTGCCGCCTCGTACATGTTATCAGAAATCGTAAGCCTAACATTGGAGTATGACATATCGGGATATTGGACACAGCCATGTCCCAACTTTCATAATCTGTTTAACATCTGATGATTTCTTACGAAAATAATGAGCTTTTCAGTACAGTAAACCTTAAATGTCCCTTCCCATTTATATTAACCATGAAAGTCCACCACTCCTTGGTGACCTTTTCATCCATTTGTCAATCCAAGTGCATCTGTCTGTCTGGTTTTAACATAGAACTTTACATAGATGTGCCACACTCCATGTAGCACACAAAACAAGAGAAGAGAGTAAAAAGAGATTCAAAAGAGAGATAATAAACAAAGGTGTGAGGAAAAAGAGGTAATATGGGAAAACAATGGTTTTATTGTATATGACGAATCACAAAGAGTGAATACATCTGCGCCATTGAGAACTATAATGAGTCATAACACCAATTGTCTCCAGCAATTGGTTTTTGTCATCCTACGAACCCCAACCAGGCAGAAGTGTACATCTCCCGACGTGGCTTAAACTAACTTGTGGATTTCATTGATTGATGAAGCCGTGTTTCGGTTTGATCACTACTAGCCAACTCTTTTCCAATGTGATCGTATGTCAGCTAACACTGCCTGTCTAGGCAGGCGTAACATATCCTATCCATCTCAACCGGTGTAACTTCACAACCTCGTCGATTGATTTCCCCGTCTAACCTGGCACTCGACGCCTAACCTCATTATTGCTCACCCTATTATACCAGCTAACAAGGGAGATAGAATGCAGGCACCTATGATCAAAGACAGCTAGTCTTTTCATGTCTTTCACTTTGAATGACCATGACTCACAGCGAATCGTAAAGGAGGACGGGGCGAACTGCTGAGCATTGTGCACGTCTTTTTGTCGACAGCCGGATATCACGTCTACTAGGCCAGAGATGGCGTAAGTTGGCATATGCCAAACGAGCCTTCTGTATCCGTGCTGAGATTTCGTCAGTGATCAACCCACTGGGGCTGATGCAACTTCTCAAATAAATGACGTGGTCAACACGCTCCACCACTCCACTCCCTATCTAAGCATCTAAAATGTAGCTTCCATAGTGTATGCTAAGTCATTAGAGATGTATCGCTTCTTACTATGTCCCCAGTCTTGACCTAAGATTTTTAACAGACCAGTATGTACTAAGCCACCAGTGCAACAAACCCTCCACTTTTCTGATTGCCGATATTCCAACATGCTTAATTTTCGGTCAGCAGGGTATTAATCCATAAATTTGGTGTTAATTTTTAAATCAGTCGGTTTCTAACCCATCAACTTAAGTATAAAATCAACCACTAAGTCACGAGATCAAATTTCGCTCCCTGTCGTAGTTGGGTGTATATATACACATTATTATTATTAGATCTGACTCATTAGGTTTGGTCCAATGCCAGGTGCATTTAAATACACAGTTGTGTCAAATTTAAACCTAGTGACTTTGTGGTTACTACTTTTTGCCGGTAAAAGTTATTAAAAATCATTAATATCATTGTCTTTATGTTTTGAAGCCATCTTTGGGAAGGTGTTTTGGCACCCGTGCACCTATAGTAATGCCGTCTACAGCCTTTTCATATTACTGACTACAATGCAACGATTTCTGGTGCCCGGAGTACGTATTTAGTCGTCAGTATTATTTGTTACCATATCTACTCAGTCGTGGCAAAGATAAGCAGTTTTAGCATGTCGGCAACTGAAATGACCCTCTTCTTGAGAATACTGCAACTTTTGTTGAGAAATTAAAATATCCCTATCTTGAAAACACATGTGAGGATTCGGTCGGTCGGTTTTCGACATAGAACTTTGCACATATGTGCGGCAGTTCAAGTCGCCACACTCCATGTAGCACACAAAGCAAGAGAAGAAAGTAGAAGAAATGCATAATAGAGACAGTAAACAGAGGTGTGAGACAAAGGAATAGTAATAACGGAGAACAAAAGAGTTTCATTGAAAATCATAAGTCACAAGGAGTGGACGCATCTGCGCCACTGAGAACGATTTTGAGCCATGTCACCAATTGTTTCCAACCATTGGTTTTTACCATCCCGAGGGCCCCAACCAGGAAGTCTACATCTTCCTACGTGGCTTAGACTAACTGTTGTAGATTTCATTGACTGGTGCCATGTTTTCGTTTGACCGCCGCTAGCTCTTCTCCAGCCTGGCCCTATATCAGCTAACATTGCCCGTCGAGGAAGGCGATGACTAGGCATACGTAGCACATGTCTTAACCATCTCAGTCGAAGTAATTTCACAGTTTCGTCGATTGATTTCCCCGCCTTACCTAGCACTCGACGCCTAACCTCAATATTGCTCACCTTATTATACCACTTCACGCGGGAGATAGAACGCAGACACCTATGATCGAAGACAGCTAATCTTTTCATGTCTTCTGCTCTCAATGGCCAGGTCTCACAGCCATAAAGGAGGACGGAGCGGACTGTTGAGCAGTACACACGCCTTTTGGTCGATGCATAAAGATGAGCAACATCTGATCTTCATAGAGATGTTAGAAGTATATTTCAGCACTGGCTGAAAATACCACATTTATTGACCTGCCAAATGATTTTCGCAAATTTTGTATTCTCCCTACAATATATTTCACAGGGTCAGTTTTGGAAACAATGAACGTGAAAGTGATCGAATAAACGATACTTTGGAGTTTCACATTATTTGCTTTTACATTCAAATGCTCAATGTCATGTTTGTGGAGATATACACTAAATTATACATCCGTCTTTGTGGTTAGCACCAAGATTGATTGTATGCAGAGACTCGTTCCAGCTCTGTACTATGCATTATAATGACGTCAGTAAGATTCAATAAGTATGGAAAATCATATGTAGGCTTATCTATATTGGACTGAGTCATCAAATCACTTTACAAATCTGTTTGTCTTTAACATACTTTTATTATAGCAAATTAATTTGATGCATTTTGTGCGGTTTTTCCGCCAACTTACGTTTCAAGTAAACTAATAATTTCACATTATTATTTGTTTACTTTTGTTTCATAAAGTATTCTGATACAAGTTCTTTGTTAACCTTATTTTAGGTGAACCTTGGAATTCATTTAACCCAAGTCCTAATTCTCCTACTCAATCAAACTTTAAACGGGAATATCGATTAGCACACCAAACTTTGTGTGTTACTCATATCGACTTTGAACAGCGTTTGTTAATAGGATTTACCCAGTTAGTTATATGGCCAATTTCATCGACTTTGCGACGTATTCATGTCAATTGCCGCCAGTGTCGTATTCATCGCATTTTATTGGAAGCAGCTGATACTGAAACAGCAGGATTTGAAAATGATAGAAAAGGACGGACTGGAAACTGGTCTGCTTCGAAAAGCAAACATATTCCATCACCCACTGATCTTCCAATTTTATTTACTGACCCTACTTTAGAAATATGTGAACGTGATACAAAATTGAGAACTCTAGACAGTTTTGAACGTCGATATACATCCGTCGTTACTGCTACGGACCCAGATGAAGGTGCGGGTGAAGTAACAGTCAGACTAACCTCAGATTTTTGGCCACTTGTCTCTCAAAAATCTCCGTTCATATTGACAATTGAGTTCTCTCTTAACAAACCCAAGTCTGGTTTCTATTTCGTCGTACCTGAAGGAGAAGGATCTTTGACTGAACGTGGAGTACATGCATTCACAGCTTGTACACCAAACTGTTCTCGCTTATGGTTCCCTTGTATTGACTGCTCAGAACCATGTACCTGGAAAATTGAAGTGACGGTATTTGAAGATTTGGTTGCCGTAGCTCCTGGAGAATTAATAGATGCTCCATACTATACGGAAGATCTAGCACATAAAACGTACCACTTTTATGTTTCCCAACCGGTAGCAGCTCCTTATATTGGATTGGCAGTGGGAGCTTTCGAAATTTTCCCAGATCCACGACTTTCCAATGGGGCAACACACTTTTGCCCAAGTGGGTTATTACCTCTTTTACAACACACTATATCTCCCTTATCCGAAATGATAGAATACTATGAATCTATCTTAGCATCACAATATCCATTCTCCACGATAAAGTGTGTATTTGTAGACTGCGCAATTTCAGAATTCCAATCATTTGCCTCTCTCATTATATTTTCTGTTGATTTGCTTCACTCTCCAAGGATCATCGACCAAGCGATTGAAACACGCAAAGTTCTCTCAATAGCTGTAGCACATCAGTTTTTTGGATGTTTTCTTATCATGGATACATGGTGTGATGCCTGGCTTACATATGGTCTAGCAGGATACTTGTCTGGTCTTTACCGAAAACGTGTTTTCGGGAATAATGAATATCGTAGGAATATTTTAGATGAGATGCATTTTATAACAGAATTCGAAAATATGAGATATGGTATCGTACTTGATCCATCAAAGTCTTCTTCAAAATCTACGTATTTTGACTTGAGTTCATCTCATGTAAGTAGTCTCTTTTAAGATTGTTGTAATCTTATATTTTGCAAATAACTGACTGATCGATTGCCCTGTAATACCAAACTTCCAGTGTAGCGTGTTTAAATGAAGAGACTAAATGGAGCTTGTGGCAAGCCAACGTAAACCTTTGAGAAGTTGATCATCATTTTTAAAAGGCAATGAACTATCATTGCTATTTATTCTGATATATTATTGTATTTGCATATAATACCAAAGAAAAAAGCTCATCATAGTTGTTACTCTAAACTATCTTATTAAATGTTGTTCAGAATTGTCTTGACCGATAGAATTGTTAAGGTTATGGTGGTTTTCTAACCTCTGTTTTATGATTGTTTATATTTCCATATCTACTGATGATCCTGGTTGGTTGGTTATTATAAATGGCGTGTGAAGAGGATTAACCATTGTAGGATTTTTATTTCAAATCTTAGATTACATAATTTCTTATAATGTGAGGTGGTTTTACACACGTCGTAAGTGTCCATCAAGTAGGTGTATACTGACTGGTTGACATCTACTTTGCTTTGATATGTAGGTTTTTAATGCTTTTATGGATATGTTGAATACTTAATATTACTTTTGATAAACCACGCTTAAATATACATAGGACGGTTATAATTTTTTGGATTTTACACATTTTGTACTGTTATATTGTACTAGAGATGTTATGAAAAAGTGTTAAGGGAATCAGTTATGGATTGGACACAAGGAAAAGTATTTTGGATTTTTAAGGACGACAGTTATTATTATTTTTTTGATTGTAGCTTGATTCCACACCGTATTTTTGGTACAAGTATGGAATTTTCAGCATGTGATATCGGTAGCCCAAATTTTGTAGGCCGACCATAGATATCAGATGTGCGTCTGTAGAGGATCGAACTTTGGACCATTTGCATGGTCGGCGAGAGTCCTAACCACTGTGCCACCATTGGGAATTAATCATTACGGAATATCCAGTTGTTTAAGTACATGATAAATACTGTGATTTTTCTGAACTGTCCTACAAGATATTGCATTATCTTGTTTAAGATTGTATGGTTTTCGAAGGTATATGATTCTGAGTTGTTGTTAAATTACATTTGGGTTCTATATATTACCCAGTAGACAAGAATTTTTAATGAACAAATATAATGTGTGATAATATGTTCGTTCATTGGGTATCTGAATCAAACATTCATTAAGTCACAACCATTCTTAGGAGGAGTCTAGTTATAATTGAAGAGAGCAAAGTTGGTGAATTCGTGAATCAAAAGTGTGAGAAGTAGAAATCGCTCGTCGGTATCCAGCTGTAATTTAAATTTTTTTTAAGGATTTCATATTTCATAAAATATTGTGAAGGCTGATGGTCTTTTGAAAATTCTAATTTGTATCATTCAGCACTAAAACTGGGGAATTTGTTCAAATCACCTCTTGTGTTCGATAGAATTGATCTCTAGTATTATTCACTTCTGATAATATAGACATGACTGTTGCTCTCAGCAGCTTTTAACGTTTTATTGTGATTCTGTTTGAGTCTATGAAACTATTTGTTTTCGTACTATATAACTATTCAATGTCAGGGAATGGATTGCTTTTGAATATTTTGTTTTGTGTTTCTTTGTTACCAGAATTAACGAAACAAATTAGCATTTATTCTTTCATACTAAGCTTCTTCCTTTTCATTTCAGCTTGTGTCACCAGATTATTTGGCAGCTTATGTGAAGAAGTCACATTTAGTGATTCGTATGTTAGAACTACGTTTAGGTCAACCTGTGTTACTTCAAGTGCTTAACAAATTGCTTGTGCTTGCTCGACTTTCTACTAAGTCGATTCTCTCAGTTACAGATCAAAATCAAAGTGAGTTGGATGGCTTGAGTAGATACAGTGAAATTGATGATAATATAATTTCACCGTGTCCAAATACCCAACCTCAACGAAATCTTAACGTCCCACCGTGCCTGTCAGATGAACATAGGGCTAATATTTTACTATCCACTGCCTCTTTCCGAAGAATTATTTCAATGGTTACAGGTCAAGATATTCGAAATTTCCTAAATCAATGGGTCTGTCGTTCTGGTCATGTTAGATTGTTTGCTAAGTTCCATTTCAATCGAAAGCGAAATGTTGTGGAGTTGGAATTAAAACAGGTGATAATTTTTTCCCATTTATTATGGTGAAACAGTTCTAGAATTTTCATTAAGCGGTTTGATACATATTTTTCATTGGTTACTAACAGTTAGGTATTTAACGGTGTTCATCTTTGACTGACCTTACAATATAAGTCAGGAGCTTAAAGACTCAAGTTGCTAGGTGAAAAAATTTAGTTGAATGCATGACGCTAACTTTTATTAGTGCTTATGAAGGATTTATTTTTCATTCATACTTTGTTTGAATTCTAGATTAAGCAGAAGTATTTTCTTTGGAACGGATTGGACTGGTTCGGAAGTCTTCTTAGGTTTGAGATTCCTGTCTATGAACCTGGGCGGGAAACCGTTTTCCATCAGGGTTTTTCGGAGATTACGCAGTTCTTCTTCGATCACTTCCTCGCTGCATATCTTCCGAATCCTCGAGGAAAGAGCGTATATCAGGTTCCTCTTTCTGCTTAGCGGCATGAAGCTTTGAAAGTTGATGAAGTGTCCAGTCCATGTAGGCTTTTTGTATATGGACCTTTTCAAAGAGTTGTTGTCGTTGCTTGTCAGATGGACGTCCAAGAAGTGAAACATTCCGTCGGATTCAGTCTCAAGTGTAAAGTCGATGTTTGAGTGGACGTTCCTGGACGTCCATCTGACAAGCAACGACAACAACTCTTTGAAAAGGTCCATATACAAAAAGCCTACATGGACTGGACACTTCATCAACTTTCAAAGCTTCATGCCGCTAAGCAGAAAGAGGAACCTGATATACGCTCTTTCCTCGAGGATTCGGAAGATATGCAGCGAGGAAGTGATCGAAGAAGAACTGCGTAATCTCCGAAAAACCCTGATGGAAAACGGTTTCCCGCCCAGGTTCATAGACAGGAATCTCAAACCTAAGAAGACTTCCGAACCAAAGCTCAATGCACTAACGCAGATGAAAATTCTAAACCCATGTCATTTAAACAACCAAACTTTGACGTGTGACTTGTCTGAGCTGAAAATCATTTTAGTAGCAAAATGTGTTTTACAAGATTAAGATATGGTAACGTTCACATAACCAATTTTAACAGATTTTTCTTGGGGTATCTGAAACAGAAAGGGAATTAGTGTTAAGTGATCATACAGCCTAGAGAACAAATGCTTGAGGCACGTCACACCAGGACCTGTTCGAATCGATTATTAGAGTTGTGTCCGAATTAAGAGCTTACCGCTTGGCTACCGACCTCCCTAGAGTAATCTGGGATGTACGATTTTTGTGGTTGACCTTTTCTGACCCACGTCTACAGAATAGAGAGGCAGCAATGCTGGAATACTAGTCATCTGACGGAGACGCCTTACTGCGGTTATATCCCTATCCCCCAGCAGTAAAACTTTTCCCACAGACTCCCAATATAGTGTAGAAATCTTGCACCATGACAGTAACAGCTTGTAGTCTAACCGCTTTCCTAACAACTTTCCTGGCATGGTAGGACCTGCAGGAACATTAGTTCAAGTCAGCGTAGCTCATTGGATCACTAAGATATGCAAGCCCATGTCAAGTTAACAGCTATCGGTCAGATTGGGGTTGTCTAATTTTATATTCTTGTTATCCTTAATATCCAAATAACTGATATTAAAAGTTTTAGTAAATTCTTTCTTAGTTATAATGACCAAACTTTTCTTGTGGAAATTTAATTTAGGATTTACAATCAAGAGGAACGTTAAACTATACTGGGCCAATCACCGTTATGCTCCAAGAACTAGACGGAGCGTTTATGCACACTTTCAAACTGGAAGAAGGTCGTATGTCACGTGATTTACCTTGTCATTCCAAAAGTCGGAAACATCGTAAGAAAAAAATATCTTTAGCTAACGGAGATGAAGTTGATATGGATTTGGCTCGTATTGATCCAGAATCACCCCTCCTGTGGCTTCGAATAGACCCTGACCTGGCTATCATACATAGTATACATGTTGATCAACCAGATTTTATGTGGCATCTTATGTTGGCTCATGACAGAGATTGTCTTGGTCAGCTAGAAGCAGTTGCTGCTCTTAAAGATTTTGCTTCTCCTGAAACACGCCATGTTTTGAGCAATATTATTTTAAATGAGAAAATCTTCTACCGAATTCGAATGGAAGCTTGTTACACCCTATGCCACGTTGTGAATGAATTGAGTGCCCTCAGTAATAACCCCGCAATGGCTTCTACTGCTGTTGCTTCTTGTCTGTTGCCAATGTTTTGGCAGTTGTTTAGTTCACCAGCAGCTCGTGGTTTGATTCGTCAGAATAATTTCACCAACTTGCAACATTATTTTCTTCAAAGAGCAATGATTAAGGCTCTCTCAACCTTACGTGTGCAACAAGTTTGCCCTCATGAAGTATTAACTTTCCTTAGTGATTTGTTAAGACATAATGATAATTCTTGTAATCCTTACTCTGATGATTACTACGTAGCCGATCTTGTTAAGGCAATGAAAGATACCCTTACACCTGCAATTATTGTTCGTGGCGTCATGTCAGCATCAACATTGCCATTTGAAGCGCGTACAGTTATTGAAGAAGTTTCTCACTTATTAAATTTAGAAACAGAGACAATGAGTTATAAAGGTGTTATAACTGTTGTGTGTTTATCAGCCATAAGACGACTACAACGGCTTGGTTTTTTGCCTATAGATCCAAGTCTTTTTTACCAATATGCGTCATCAAACTTTTACTGTGACATCAGATTAGCAGCAATCGAAGCCCTTGTGGATTACATCAGAGGAGAACGAGATCAATCAGCATTAGACTGGCTTTTCAACAATATCATTGAACACGAAGATGGTGGTGATTCTTCATATGTTCGACTTCGTTTTCAGTCTATACAGTTGTTATTGCGCACACCACCATTTCAACGTGGTGAGACAGGAAGTCGACTGGACACTCCTCAGCTAGTTGAAAGACTTTGGACTCTAATGAACTATGGATGCACAGGTGATCCTCGGTTACGGTGTGCAGTAGCTGAACTGTATTATACTCTTTATGGTAATCGTCGGCCAACTTGTCTTCCTCTTCCAGAGGGTGTACTCTTAGTGAGGGTTAAAGAAGGCCGATCTGTGCTCAATATAACTGAAAATAATCTTAGATCTAACGATATGGATGATGGTGATGAATTGAGCAAATATAAGTCTGAATCCCTGACTAGAAAATCGTCATCATCTAAAGTGCATACAGAATATGAAGAATTGGAAGATAATTTCTTAGATAGTGAAATGTTACACGCAAATAGTGCACAATTAGAACGTGATTCATTACAGCGTACAACAGAATTCAATACTCAATCAGATTTTAAACGTTTGCATACAAATAGAAATGTGAATTTTTGTGAAATGAATGATTCTTCAAATATTTTCAAAAGACGAACGGAACGATTGAGTGATGACGAAGATGATTAAGATCTGGGTAAGTTAATGGATTCATAAAGTTTACATGTATTTCATCATTAATCACTGTCATTTCGGATGGTTTAATCCTTGGACTAATTGTTCGAGAATTCATGATGGAATAAACTTTGTAAAAAATTGATAAACTCTGAAAGTAATTGTACAATTAACACTATTCAAATGTTTAGATTATGGGATTTGTAGGGATTGGGATTAATTTCATTTATTAGATTTTGTCACGAACTAACATCAGTTAGAGTAGTCATTGAAAACCAGGGAGCACTGGGCAGCTGCTTATTCTTATTTCGGGACTCTTTCTCAGTGCACACCCGAAACCCCATCAGAGACTGAACACTGGACCTTCAGGTTAAGAGACCAATTTCGTTGACCACTCCGCCACTTGGGTTAAATTCACTGACCCATGAGTTCTAACTTTATCAACTCGTGATGTAGCACTACCCTCACCAATGCCTTTGATGCTCATTCACTTCACCTTACCATGGTGAACCTCACTGATTGATCATGACTTCCCACAATAGCTTCAGGAATTCCATCCAGTAGGCATCAATGAGCTGGTGATTTATATTCAGATTATGGGGTTTGTGGGAGTTGGAATTAATTTCAATTGTTAGATTTCGTCTACTCTCTCTACTTCGGCTATCTCCTACGGAAGAATGAGCCGGCTTCATGAACATCTCGAATCATCGCTGCCCAGGCGCGGCGATCTGATGAAGAGAGTTCATGAAGTTTCATGGGAATTTGGTACGAGTGATGTCCCCAGAATCGCTCGGCCTTTTGTTTGAGAGAGCAGCTCTAGCCTTTACGCAACCAAGTGTGACCTACAAGACAGTAGGAGTGGAGTAGGGAGTCCACTATCCCATTGGCAGCCGGTGACCGGAGTTCGGTTCATACGCCTTTTTGAATGGGACCAGACATCCAGGAAATCCAACAAGCGCTTTGTCCATACGTCTGCCGGTGAGCTCCAGTGAGCTTCATACGCCAGTCGTTGGAGGTTTGGAATCAGGGTTTAGCCATCTCCCCTAGACTGTCATCCAATAGACAGTCAACCCGGTGAAGAGCGCCGGGCATCCGCTTTCGCCCTCTCATTTTGGTGAAAAACACCTCCGCCACGTGAAGGCAGTGAGTAGGACTTCCTCAGGAGAGGCTATGTAAGACGCCCGGTCATATGGGAGCATTTCAAGAGGTGTGCGGAGGGGTGGCCAACCCGCAGCGCAAGGCACCCACCCCCGACCATTCTGAGGCTTTGGAGGCCTTTGGAGATTTCGTCAACAAGTATGGTCTCTTAACCTGAATGCCCGGGGATCACTCTCTTGTGCAGTCGTAGGGGTACACTGCTTAATAGTCTCAAAACACGACGAAACAGCTGTCAGTGGTCCCTGGTTTTCAATGGTCTGTCTAAGTGGTGTTGATTCGTGACGAAATCTGACAATTGAAACTATTTAAATGTGTTAGGGAAAAATAAATCTTAACATCTGTCATAGTCATACACCATAAATTAGAAGCTTAGAAGAGGAATCAATAATTCATCTGTAATATTAGTGTATGGATAAGTTATTTTCTGCCAAGTGTTACCATATGCTGGAAGCTTTTTTGAACTGCGAATAAAGAAGAGTCAATATTATAAACATTCCCACCAATAGTTTGCAATGAATAAGGAGGATTTACTAAAATTAAGGTGTATATACAGTTTTACGAATGAAGTGGTTACACAGGTTGATAGGGAGTTTTACGTTGACTATGTAAGCATCTGGATGTCGAGCATAGCCTTCCCAGACTATCTGAATTGCGAAAAAGTAAACCTGTATTAGAAGTCAATACCTATGGATTTCATAATATGAAATAAGTTTTAATTTACACACCAGACTGCTTTGAGTTATACATACCAAAGCTTTTGTATTTGTTATTTTGAGATTCTTATTGTTATATGGTTGAAGGCGATTGGCGGGAATAGCTCCGAATAACTCAGTGGTAATGTCTCTTACTGTAAGACTGGGCGGCCTAGGTTTGAATCTCAGCAGGGATTGCAGATACACATTGCTGATGAGTGCCAACTAGTACGAAACCCAGGTTTAAGGCTTCCTATTAGTTGCCTCCAACCATCTAGTGGCACTTTGGAGTACACCGTGATGACAGTCCACCTGGCATAGTGACCACATTGCAAACCTGACTGAAAGAATTCAGTCTGCAGCGAATGAAGTACCAAACGCATAACACTAGTTACCACCTAGTGTTCAACCAAAGTAGATATTCTTATTTTCCAATTCATCAAAAAATGATATATTTTTCTACTGGTGCTTTGTTATTTAGTGCTAATAGATGTTAGGTAGTTAAAGACAATTGATAGGCTGCGTGCTTTTTGGCTTCCATGTCTGCACGTTTAGAGGAACTGATATCACCTCAGAGATTCAAACTTACTTCACTTTATACTGCAGTGAAACAAGCTATTGTTAGAAATTTGCCCCGAATAGAAATCTAATATATATATTGATTAGTCATTAGGAAGCAATCCCCATGTCATGTTATCTTGTCCCTAGTGTGTTGAACATTTTCTGATAGCTAATAACTAGATACAAACCTCATTACTAATATATCGTTGGTGAATATCTACATTTAAAAGAATTAATGAGATCTTAGCTTAGACGTCTACAACAAAGTTGCTATATTGTCACAAGTTCTAAAAAAAAGTTAAAATTATATATGCATTCCTTCACTAATGATTCAAGTACGTAGTACATAGTCCTAAAATCTTCATGCACAGGCAACTTTTTAAGCTTGTTGAAGCCTTGTCATTGTCTCATATTTATTTTTTCCCCACTGACGATTTTAACAACAAGTATCAATGTACGCGTTTGTTTTGTCTTTTCTGAATTTTACAGGATCACTAAACTTGGAAATAGAAATATTTCTTTGTTTGCTGTATTATAGCTGGTATCCTTAAGTGGAGAAGACTACTTGTTCAGTAATCTGTACATATTTGTATATATATTTTTTGAACACTTTTGTATATTGTAAATAAATTATTTCTATGTGATACTTTTATTTTACTTCAGGAGATAAGATGTATATATCGTTTGGCTAACATATATATATATATATACCGTAGAGCTTTCCCTCTTTGGTATAGACAGTTGTTTTACAAATTATGCTTCTAATCCTGCCTCAGCTGTTAAAGTATTAGCAGTCAAATTGTAATAGTTGATACTTTCTGAAGTCACTAAATGCTTCACTTTGGCTAAGTTTCCTTTCTTCGCTGCTTCTAAGATAGCGGTATCACCTCATAGCAGATCGTAAACATCACCTTCTGTACCCTAAAAGATGGAAAATATAGTTGGATCATTTCACCGAGTGCTCGACTAGTCAAGCTGACAAATAAAAAATGGTACAAAGGGGCTAACTTTTCCAAAGGATTTTCTCTAATGACGAAGGACTATACCACTCATTATTCATCTAATCTGGCCAAGGATGGCTAGGTTCCGGTCTTTCCATAGAAATGCTTGCATGTGGGAACCCGTTTATAGTCTTTACCAAGTAAATCTTATTCACTGTCTTCATACAGAGTTGGCTGATCATACAAATGTAGAAGAGTGAATGAGAATGTTCGGCGCTTATAAGCATACTGGTGGAAGATGGGGTACACTCAGGGGAATCGGAGAACACTGTACGACCCGATTGAAAGAATGGTGTGGGAACACGTTTCGGTTACTGGCGATCACAGGAAAATAGATCTTGGCATTGTCTTTTTGCCTTTTGGCTCAGTCTGTATATTAACAGCTAACAAACTGGTTCCTTAAAATAATCATCTATTTTGATCTTGATATAATCGTGCCCTCACATGAAATACATAATGACCACCCAACGGTGTATTGAAACACTTAAGTCGTCATCGTTATATTGTCATTCGTATACATGAACTGTCTTGTTTGATTCTTGTCATTTTATGTTTTTTTGTCCTTATTTTCGTCCGCTACTCATCATTGTTTGGAATGTCTCTCCATTTTCACACATTTGACTCGCTAAACAGGTGCGTCCACAAACTGGCTTTCAGTACATATCAAGTGTGTCTTGCATTTTGATAATCATTCCTGTCGATTCATTCAGGCGAAGAGTGAATACAATAACCTACTCTATACGAGCATATAATCGAACAGTACATACGTAAGGACAGCACGGCCTTGTGGTCAAAAATTCCACGTAAGGTGAAAACAGCATTCCCTCTTACATAAGCAAACACTAGTAAGAAGATCTTTGAGTCGGGTAAGATGTCTTCAAAGGCACCTGAAGCCTCGGGGTAGAGCACTTTGCAAAAAAGTCTAGCTGATCTGCATTACATGCAATTAATATTCCAAATCATATTGGAAGGTGGTCGCATAGCACCAGTGTATATACTGAAGGATAAGTACGAAAGGAACAGTAAGTACTCAGGTGTCATAAGACACAAGGCTTCAACAAATTACCACTCCTGGTGGTGAGACACTAGATGTTGTTTAGGAAAATATGGTAGACCGACGGTGCTCCAGTTCTGTGACTATCTTTGGAAAGGACCTAAGTAAGGCATGTTACAAACAGGAAGACATAGTCTGTTACTGATTGAGCCCAAAAAAGCAAGTGCTATTTTGCCTCATACTTTGAAAATATAAATCATAAACAACTTGCTTGGGTTTCGTTTAAATCTCAGTGCATTGATTAGGCGTTCAGTGTTCGTTAACTTGTAGGACACTGTATCTGTATTTCTCCGTACCAGGTTTTTGTTGAGTAGGATCGTTGTCTGTTAGAGACAAGCTGGAAGGCTGATCAGTATCCACAGGCGAGTATACAGAAATAACTCTTGTAGTGTGATGGAGTGCGACTATCTGTTATTGCTTTTCTTAACCATCAGGGTAAAATTGTCTAATTAATCCATTCCTCTACTTTCTCCGACATTCTGACGGCAAATTTGAAGTATGCGCTTGATGGTGGTGCCTGGAGAAAGACTTTCATTTTCAATATTTAGGTGGTGTCGTTTTACTGCGTCGGTGGCACAGCGGTTAGGACTCGCCGACCATGCACATGGTCCGGGATTCGATCCCCTGCCGACGCACACCTGATATCAATAGCCGGCTTACAAAATTTGGGCTACCGATATCACATGCTGAAAATTCCATACTTGTATCAAAAATACGGTGTGGAGTCAAGCTACATAAAAGATATATGTATAACTCAAAGTACAGTCAGTCAGTTTCTATTCACCATCTGAGTACAAAGCATTACTCTGTAACTGGCAGTAGCCTGCACCCCCTCTCTCAGTTTAAAAATTCGGATATCTAAGTGAATGCTAACGGAGGCGT